TTTTTATGATATTTTCTATTTCCTTTTTATTGATTTTCTATTTCTTTTTTTTTGGGTCCCATGTTCAATTTCCTTAGTCTTCTTACTTTCTCTCCGTTCTCTCTCAAAGGCAAAGATATGGAGAATACGGAAGGTCATGTCCCTGCCTATTTCTTTGAGTGGTTACACGAGAGAGAACGGAGAGAAGAAAGAAGACTAAGGAACGTGAACGAGGGACCCAAAATAAAAGAAATAGAAAATTAAAGAAAAAGGGACACGACTAGAAAAAACGGAACACTTTCTTAAAACATTCGGATGCTAAAAAGTGGGACCCACAAAGGGCAATATAGTCAAATTATCGTGTTGAGGAGTGTTTTAGCCAAAAATTGAGTAGAAAAAGCACCGCCCAAAAAATTACTAACTACTTGCCAATATTACTAATTTCTAAAAAGGATAAAAAAAACTCACATTTTCATTTTAAATTTACAAATAAACACGGTAAAAATAATTTGGTAGGATGTCTCATACCACTTAAGATGTTCCCCCGTTAACTGATTTCGGTTTTAGCCAAAAAAAAAACTGATTTCGGAATGATTTAATATTATTTTTAAGTTTTCAAATTGCTAAAAACCTAATAAATTACTAACCTGTTTATGAGAGCGAACTCACTTTCTTGATCAGGAAAGTTACTCACAAATATGGCATACTTACTTTTCCAAATGAAAAGTCACTAATATTGTATCAAAGTTACTAGTTTTTTTTCATGATTGCTTATTGTGGATCTTGGACTTTGGATATATACCATATAAAATAATAATAACATGTACATCTCGCTACAACACCTCGCCCGCTTCCCAGTGATTGCTTCTCCGTGGTGCCGCACTATGACCGAGATATTCTGTGGCCGAGTCACCATGGTCTTTGGCGAGAGGGCGAAGGGGTCCAAATTACTAATAGCAAAAAAAAAAAAAACTCACATTAGCAATTTAGAATTGGTAGGATGTATTATGTATTACTATGTTCTCATGTTGCTAACTAATTTCGGGCCGACTTAAAACAATTTTTAAGTTTTGGAATAGCTAGAAGGGTAATAAATTAGCAGCCGTTTATAAGTGTGGGCTTTCTTTCTTAATTGGGCAAGTTACTAACAAATATGGCAAAACTTACTTCTGATTACATATAAGGCAACTTACTTTTCATAATGATGAAAAGTCACAAAAGATGCATCAAAGATACCCAACTTTTTTTTTTTTGTTTTTCCTTATTTTGAGGTCTGGACTTTTCGATATATTACTATAGACGGAAAATGACACAAATAGTAACTACTTGCCAATATTATTAATTTCTAAAAAGGATAGAAAAACTCACATTTTCATTTTAAATTTACAAATAAACACGGTAAAAATAATTTGGTACGATATGTCTCATACCACTCAAGATGGTCCCCCGTTAACTGATTTCGGTTTTAGCCAAAAAAAAAAAACTGATTTCGGAATGATTTAATATTATTTTTAAGTTTTCAAATTGCTAAAAACCTAATAAATTACGAAAAGTCACTAATATTGTATCAAAGTTACTAGTTTTTTTTCATGATTGCTTATTGTGGATCTTGGACTTTGGATATATACCATATAAAATAATAATAACATGTACATCTCGCTACAGCACCTCGCCCGCTTCCCAGTGATTGCTTCTCCGTGGTGCCGCACTACGACCGAGATATTCTGTGGCCGAGTCACCATGGTGCTGGCGAGAGGGCGAAGGGGTCCAAATTACTAATAGCAAAAAAAAAAAAAAAACTCACATTAGCAATTTAGAATTGGTAGGATGTATTATGTATTACTATGTTCTCATGTTGCTAACTAATTTCGGGCCGACTTAAAACAATTTTTAAGTTTTGGAATAGCTAGAAGGGTAATAAATTAGCAGCCGTTTATAAGTGTGGGCTTTCTTTCTTAATTGGGCAAGTTACTAACAAATATGGCAAAACTTACTTCTGATTACATATAAGGCAACTTACTTTTCATAATGATGAAAAGTCACAAAAGATGCATCAAAGATACCCAACTTTTTTTTTTTGTTTTTCCTTATTTTGAGGTCTGGACTTTTCGATATATTACTATAGACGGAAAATGACACAAATAGTAACTACTTGCCAATATTATTAATTTCTAAAAAGGATAGAAAAACTCACATTTTCATTTTAAATTTACAAATAAACACGGTAAAAATAATTTGGTACGATATGTCTCATACCACTCAAGATGGTCCCCCGTTAACTGATTTCGGTTTTAGCCAAAAAAAAAAAACTGATTTCGGAATGATTTAATATTATTTTTAAGTTTTCAAATTGCTAAAAACCTAATAAATTACGAAAAGTCACTAATATTGTATCAAAGTTACTAGTTTTTTTTCATGATTGCTTATTGTGGATCTTGGACTTTGGATATATACCATATAAAATAATAATAACATGTACATCTCGCTACAGCACCTCGCCCGCTTCCCAGTGATTGCTTCTCCGTGGTGCCGCACTACGACCGAGATATTCTGTGGCCGAGTCACCATGGTGCTGGCGAGAGGGCGAAGGGGTCCAAATTACTAATAGCAAAAAAAAAAAAAAACTCACATTAGCAATTTAGAATTGGTAGGATGTATTATGTATTACTATGTTCTCATGTTGCTAACTAATTTCGGGCCGACTTAAAACAATTTTTAAGTTTTGGAATAGCTAGAAGGGTAATAAATTAGCAGCCGTTTATAAGTGTGGGCTTTCTTTCTTAATTGGGCAAGTTACTAACAAATATGGCAAAACTTACTTCTGATTACATATAAGGCAACTTACTTTTCATAATGATGAAAAGTCACAAAAGATGCATCAAAGATACCCAACTTTTTTTTTTTGTTTTTCCTTATTTTGAGGTCTGGACTTTTCGATATATTACTATAGACGGAAAATGACACAAATAGTAACTACTTGCCAATATTATTAATTTCTAAAAAGGATAGAAAAACTCACATTTTCATTTTAAATTTACAAATAAACACGGTAAAAATAATTTGGTACGATATGTCTCATACCACTCAAGATGGTCCCCCGTTAACTGATTTCGGTTTTAGCCAAAAAAAAAAAACTGATTTCGGAATGATTTAATATTATTTTTAAGTTTTCAAATTGCTAAAAACCTAATAAATTACGAAAAGTCACTAATATTGTATCAAAGTTACTAGTTTTTTTTCATGATTGCTTATTGTGGATCTTGGACTTTGGATATATACCATATAAAATAATAATAACATGTACATCTCGCTACAGCACCTCGCCCGCTTCCCAGTGATTGCTTCTCCGTGGTGCCGCACTACGACCGAGATATTCTGTGGCCGAGTCACCATGGTGCTGGCGAGAGGGCGAAGGGGTCCAAATTACTAATAGCCAAAAAAAAAAAACTCACATTTGCAATTTAGAATTGGTAGGATGTATTAGGTATTACTATGTTCTCATGTTGCTAACTAATTTCGGGCCGACTTAAAACAATTTTTAAGTTTTGGAATAACTAGAAGGGTAATAAATTAGCAGCCGTTTATAAGTGCGGGCTTTCTTTCTTAATTGGGAAAGTTAGTAACAAATATGGCAAAACTTACTTCTGATTACATGTAAGGCAACTTACTTTTCTTAATGATGAAAAGTCACAAAAGATGCATCAAAGATACCCAACTTTTTTTTTTTGTTTTTCCTTATTTTGAGGTATGGACTTTTTGATATATTACTATAGACGGAAAATGATACAAATAGTCCCTGAACTTTAGCCTAATGTATAATTTGGTCCATGAACTTTTAATTTGTTCAATGTAGTCCTTGAACTTTAACCCAATATGCAATGTGGTTCCTGAATACTTAATTTGTTCAATGTCATCCGTAAAATTTTGGTACATGTTCAATTCAATCCATGTACTATACGAAAATATTCAATGCAGTCCTTTTCATTAATTCAAGTTCATGGACTATATTGAACATTTTCATCTAGTTCAAGGACTGAATTGAACATGTACAAAAAATTCAGGGATGACATTGAACAAATTAAAAGTTTAAGAACCAAATTGAACATTAGCCTAAAGTTTAGGGACTACATTGAACAAATTAAAAGTTTAAGGACCAAATTGTATATGAAGTCAAAGTTCAAGGACAGTTTGTGTCATCATCCATACTATAAATTGTAACCACCTTGCCCGCACCGTCGAGTGATTATTGCTCCATTGCGCTGCACGACGACCAAGATGATTCGCTTCGCGACGATCGAGTCGCTGTGGCAGTGGTGGGGGCGGCGGCGGCGACGGCGACGGGTGGCGATGGGGGTAGCATGCTAGGGTTATTTTTATTGTTGGGAAAATGACACAAACAGTCCTTGAACTTTGGCCAAATGTGCAATATGGTCTCTAAACTTTTAATTTTTTCGATGTGGTCCCTGAACTTTAACCCAATGTGCAATGTGGTTCTTGAACTTTTAATTTGTTGAATGTCGCCGCTAAAATCTTGGTACAAGTTGAATTTAGTCCCCGAATTATGTGAAAATGTCTAATGTAGTCCTTCTATTAATTCATGTAATTCAGGGGACTATATTGAACATGTACCAAAAGTCTAGAGATCACATTGAGCATATTAAAAGTTCAGAGGACACATTGAACATCATGTTAAACTTCAGAGACCACATTGAAGAAAATTAAAAACTCAAGGACCGCATTACACGTTAAGGCAAAGTTCGAGAACTGCTCGCGTCGTTACCAGAAAGATCGGGGTGCATCCGACAGAGAGTGCCCCTAGAGTTTTTAATTCCTTTCATTATTACTTGTCAAATCATCACAGAAATAAATAAAAAAAATAAGAAAAAAATGTATATGAGGGACGCGCACGCGAGGGGGAGCGCTTTCTTCCTCTCCCGTTTCTTCCCACCTTCCCCCCGCTAAACATCGCTCGCAGACTCGCAGTGCCTCCCCGTGGACTGCGCCAGCGATCGCCCCTCACACAGTAGAGAGAGAGAGAGAGAGAGAGAGAAGAGAGAGAGAGAGAGAGAGAGAGAGAGAGAGAGCTCGCTGCTGCAGCAGATTTCTCTTTCCTCCTCTCTCTTCTCCCATTCCACAACCTCCGGCCATGGCGGACGAAGCTTCCCGCGGTCCCTGGTCCTTCCTGGTAATCTCTCTGTGCCTGCGCGTGTGCGTGTGTCTGCGTGTGTGTCGTGTCTCCGGATTCCGGACTTGTTTTTCCGGAGGCGTTCGGCTCGTCGAGCGATGGCGGCGGACGGCATTGCGTCCGCTGGAGGACTCCAACTATGCTGGAAGCTCCGTTTCGGCGCCGGACTCCCCGCGGAACGCTCCGCTCGGAGAGGAGGCGCCGCGGCGGCTCCATCGGGGTGGTCGATTTCTTGCTGTCGGCCCGATCACGATCAGTAGTGAAGAGATTGATTCGGGACGAGCGGTTCGCCCGGTTGATCTCAGCGTCTTTGTCCGCATTCGCGCGCTCTTCTCTCGATTCGGAGTGGGCAAAATGTCAATCGTGTCTGTCGGACTGCGGACTTTTGATTGGTTCCGGACGATTGTGGTTATAGAGTGGGACTTTTGTTGCGGGGGGAATCTTATGTGATGTGTTTTTTTTGATGCGAAGTTTGCGAAGAAGAAGGAGTCGCAAGACGGTCAGATTGACGACAAGAAAGCCGTGTCCAATGGGAATCATGCGAACGGCGCGCCGAATGGTAATGGATGTGTCAAGAGATCGGCCGATTTGGCGATCTATGAGCAGTACCAGAGCCAGGTGAGGTGTTCAACTCGCGCGACCGACTTGCGATGTCTGCTTTGGTGTTGTGTAAGTGGTGTTTTGTGATGTGCAGGGTGGAAACTCTCTGCACTCAAACGGGGCCCCCGCGAGCAGAGTCGCTGAGAGGCCGTATGATTTCTTGGTTGATTATTTACTCTCCTCTTTGATTAGTAGTGTGTTGCTGTAAGTTTCGGACGGAATGCCTGATGTGAGGTTCTGTCTGCCTTCAGATCATCCTATGATCACCAAGCCAACATGTTTATCATGATCTTTTATTATGCGACGGGTGTGTTAGAATACGACATTAGTACTCTTTATCAGTCTCAGTTTGACTTGAACCTGGATATTTAACTGTGCATTCGCTGTTAAGAGCAACTTATTCAATGTGCTCATGAAGTTGATTTTTGTCTCACGACCACTGAATTGGTTTTGGAACCATGCGACTGGATCGATTTCTCACCCTTCAATCATTTTGGTGTTTTTTTTCTTTCCATTTTCAGGCAAAAGCCTCTATTTCCTCCCTTTGAATCGCCAGAAATGCTCAGTTTGGCCGAGAGTTTGACCAGGTAATATGCAGAACACTGGATTGGCACTTTACCTGATAATGACTTACAATAGTCATATCACTGTAATTATCTTATCATAATACCAAGTGTTTGGTTCATTTCCATATTCTACCAGGGATATCATTCGTGGGAGCCCAGATGTTACATGGGAGAGCATCAAAGGCCTAGAAAATGCAAAACGCTTACTCAAAGAAGCAGTTGTCATGCCAATTAAATATCCCAAGTGATCATCTGCAATTCCTTGTCAATCATTTCATCCTTTGAATTTATTTATATATGTTCTTATGGGTTCTGCTTTCCAACATTGGTTATTTTCACCTGTTTGAACCTTGGAAAGAATGTGGATAGTATAGTAATTTTGTTAGCAAATATGTTGGTCATTTTGCTTGGATGAGATTTAGTTTTGGTTTCCTGTAGTTCTCATGGAACTGATTCACCTTCTTGAGGATAGTGGAGTGTACTGCTTGGGCTAACTTATGCTTTAGCTCTTTGCTATTAGTGTTAGGAAGTCTTTTTTGATATCTAATGAGTCAAATATCTGAAAATATTGACCTTTGAAATCATTGAGAGTTTGTTCATAGTTTTGGAAGAACTGATATAAGAATTGATATAATGTTTTACTCGGGGAAACTTAAAAGAGGTACCTATTTCAAGCTGCACTGAAAATGCATTTGAGTTTTTCAAATTTTTCGAGCTCAATTTTTTATTCTATTTTATGGGGAACCACAGGAATCGGGATGTTCTCGACTAATATGATTTTCGTGAAATTCAAGAAAGATTCAAATAATTTTCTGTATTTATACATCATTGTCCTGATCTTAATATCTAGTAACTGAAGCATGTGTTCCCCTTTGACTCTAGGTACTTCACTGGTCTTCTATCACCATGGAAGGGTATTCTCCTGTTTGGTCCTCCTGGGACGGGGAAGGTCTGATTTTTTAACATATGAACTTTGTGCTTCTTATATTTGCATATAATGACGCTTGTTGAGCTGCTTATAATTTAGTCTCTAATGTATGAAATCTAACATGTGATTTACAAGAGGTTTGCTGGGAGTCTGGCAGAGCATGTTCGTGACTCTTTACCAAATATTTTATAAAATTCTGATGTGAAGTGAAGGGAGAGATAAGAATGATAGTCTTCCAGTCATTCAACGTTTTATAGGTGGAAAAAGTCCAATATACTAACTGTGTGATTCATTTCACCAGAATCGAGGACAATTGAATAGCAGAGCTACTTAGTGGAATAAGCCTTGGGTATTCTATTTCTTTTAATATTTGTTCTATAGTTGTAGTATTTGATTTAGGGAAAACCCTTATGGGCTTTATTAAAGTTCCTTTGGAAACATCAGGCTATTTTCTGGTAGTTGTTGCATTGGTGAAGCTATTTCATGTGAGCTCATAGTTAAAAGTTCCATGAAACACGTAGATAAAGACTTCTACGTGTTCCAAATTGTCTCGGATGATTCAAAGTATAATAGGAGTCTCAGCATGGACACTGCGATTTGCATCTGTATTGACTTCGGTTCAGTTGTGACTTCAAACGTGATCGTTTTGCCAATTTTATGTCTTACCCATTTAGTACATCTTTGGCACCTTGATGACAGTGTAGAATTAGTACCGGGTAATCATACTTTCCATTAAGCTCCGGCTTTATTTGTTTGAAAATGTCAGACTTACAAATCTCTTTCATGGAAAAGCAATTATTTTTCTAATTGATGTATTAATTTGACAATGCTTTCTCAAAACTGCTGTCTCAACGTGAAGGACAATCAGAAAGCGATGTATGGTCTGAGATATTTATAGATAAAAGCTTGTTCTTGTCTCCTGGATAAGACATGCACATGCATGCTGGGTAAGTCTGCTAATGAATGTGTTGTGCAGCTATGAATGTCAGTGCAATGCTTGTACAGCACTCTTACTGTATGCTGAACATGCAGCACCTAACGGTCCTGTGAAATGGTTGAGGAGAGAAAGAAATGCTACTTCTCCTGCTACTCTAGGCACACGTATTTGGTTAAACTTGTAGGTCAAGACAAAATTATAGTCAAACATGTTGCAGATCCAAACAGTTGTAGAAATCCATGTTATATCCTGGTAACGAGTTCTGAACAGTTAAAGAAGATGATGAAACTCTTGCCAAATCCTTTCAATTATTAGATGGCTTAGCAGGAAGATGCAGTATTTAAGGCTGGTAATAGTATGGTCGTTGTCATAATTGTTGTCGTCGGGGTCATAGTGATTGTGTTCCACCTCAATGACGTAAATGAACTTTCTGACTCATCTCCGGGTAGCTGAATTTTTCTAAACCACCGTATCTGCAAAATATCATGCATACAAATTGTTGAATATTGACATGTCGAGATCTGTAATATAGTCTTTTGGATCTTGAAGAGATGGGCCTTCTATTTTGCTTCCTTTGGAACAATTCTGTTAGTTTCTGTGATTGTTTCTCCTGTGAGATCCATGTGTTCTTTAAAAAGGCATCTACTATTGATAGGTTAGATGACGGGGGCCATCGTATGACTGCTGTCCACCTGTATTTAGTGAATTGACACTTGATTTTCATTATGTACTTTTTTCGCCTGGTAAAAGGCCATTCTTTCTCAGGCCGGGTTAAAAAAGGCCTGCTGATTAATCTTGGAATTATTGCATGGTTCTTCTGTTGTTTGTTTACTTTTTGAACTGATTGATGAATTAACTTTCCTATGTTGCAGACTATGCTTGCAAAGGCCATTGCAACTGAATGCAATACTACTTTTTTTAACATATCTGCATCATCAGTTGTCAGCAAATGGCGCGGTAAGAGTCAATTAGGATTAACAGGTCACACATCTCTTAATTTCTGTTTCTTGTTGGGTCCATTATTATGGATGAGGCATTTTGAAGAAGGCTTGCCATGTCAGTTTGTGAAGGATGATGAGCTCTTCTCTTGGGCATTTTTTCTCTCTACTTTAGAAAACCGAACACAGCCTACTTCTTTGACTTGCTGCTCTGAAGCACAATAGCACAATCTTTGGCGAAGTGAAGATTTGTGTTATATTGTAACTTTTTTGTGGAATCCATGCATGATATGGTAATGCAAATTTACTTCAAGTAAAGTTGATTTCCCTTTTCTTTATTATATGGCAGGTGATTCGGAGAAGTTGGTGAGAGTCCTATTTGACCTTGCTAGGCACCATGCACCATCAACAATATTTCTTGATGAAATTGATGCGATCATTAGTCACCGTGGTGAGGCACGTAGTGAGCATGAAGCTAGTAGGCGTTTGAAGACTGAGCTACTTATTCAGGTGATGTTCATTCCGTACTGTTCTATATTCCTTATTCTGGAATGATGTAGATGGATTGATATGTTTCTCAGTGCCCATGGTATGTTATCTAGCAATATCCTTCACTGTTTTTGGTTGACCTGTTTCCCTGCAAGTTCCACATCAAAAGTGACTCATTTGCAAGTTTATCTCAAGGACTTTGGAAGATGATCTATTTATGACTAGTGGTATATGTGCTCTGCATAAAAATTGATTTTTCTGCTATCTAATGGTATCGTTGTCTATCAATTGGCATCAATGTCAAACTTCGACTTTCTTAAAGTACTTTTGGTTTTAGGGAAATCTTCCATTTTTAATTTAACTATTTGTTGACAATCTTCTAGAATCCGTTTGCCACGGTTCTACCACTTTTCGGAACGAGTAGTGGTACATTAATTCAATACCGATATTGTTCTGCTTTCATTTTTCTTGAAGTATAGTGACACTTAGATAGTGTAATAAAGACCTCATTATACTCTGCATTAGGCTATGTTTGGGAGGAAGGGAACAAGAAAATTGGGGTGGAAAATGCCTCAAATTTTAAATCTTCCCTCTGCCTTCTCACCAAATTTTAAAATTTTTATAAATTTTCCATCCAAATTTTCATTCCCTCCATTTTCTCTACTAACCCAAACATATCTTTTTTGAAATCACGTTGTCTCTTTAGATTAAAGCTGCCACATTCCTCTTACGCTTATGCTATGTTTTGGAACAAATTATGGAAGGAAGGAAAGAAAGTTAGGATTGAAATTGGTGGAGGTCAAAATGGAAGACAAGAAATTTTTTTAATCAATTTTTTTTGGATGGGAAGGGAAAAAGACTGATAGGAGAAAGTTAATTTATGAAAAAAATGGTGATAGTATTAATATGAGATACTTTTGTATCCGTTATAAATTTGAAATTTCCGTAGTATATGACTGTTGTGGAAATTTTATGTCAAAGAAGGAGACCATTTTGATAATCTTGTAATATTATTTCTAGGATGTCACAAGTCAATATGCAACCATAGTTAAAATTAATGAAAAAAATAAAATTGAAAGCCAAGTAGAGGAAAATATAACAATGATAGTTCGGATGGAAAGTTGATGACAATGTTGTATTAGTTTACAAAATCAAAGGGTACAATGGGCTTTCTGCAGCAAAACTAACATAAATAGTGTACTTGTATCCCAATTTGGGGATGATAAACAATGGTGGGTGGGCCCAAATTGAATGTTTATACTCTTCAAAATCAGATCCTATATTTTCTACAAGTGTCCCAAATAAGCGAAAGTCTCTGACATCAGCAACTTTTTTTCAACAATCTGTCCCTTCACTTCTACCTCTTCTAATCACACGCTTGGCCTGATCTTGAAAAGTTTGCTAACTTTTTAGCACCTCTGATGCTTGGAGACAATTCTGGGTGAGACATCAAACAGAAAGAAAGTCATGAAAGAGAAAGGTTATGTGTGAGAGAGTGAAAGGGAGTGATTATATGATTTAGTTCATTGGGCTAAAACCAAATTCTTATAAACCCACAGGTTGGCTTAGTGATTAAGGAGAGAACATGTATGTGTGAATATAAACCCATGTGTATGACGAGGGTTGTGTTCTCTACTCCAAGAATGCAAACAACCCCACATTTGGGACACCTACTCTTGTTTTGGCCTGTCTCTTATTTGGTCGATGAGATTAATGAGGTATTCAATGGGTTGAGGGCATTTTGACATTTTTCTTAATGGTAAAAGTTTTCTGAAAGTACAATTATATCTAGCAGTTTCCTGACGATATTGAATGCAATATTTTAACTGTTTTTACTTTTCAGTAGAGGGAGGAGGCCCTTAGTGTCTCCCAAACTTTCTCCAATTATTTATGAACCCCTGACATGAAAGTTCTGTCTAATTTTCTCAATGTGATTGCAATGTTCCACCTGAAAATAATGCGTGCTTAATCTACTGCAGATGGATGGTTTGACGCGGACAAATGAGCTTGTGTTCGTATTGGCGGCAACTAACCTCCCCTGGGAGTTGGATGCAGCCATGCTCCGTCGTCTTGAAAAGCGAGTATCCTTATTATGTGATTGTAACTTTTCATCTTTTTAACTGATATGCTAAAATTGAAGGGAGGGAAATGATTTGATTCCCATCATAAAAATAGTTAAAAGAGTAACTCTGTATTAAAAGAGTAACTCTGTATGACTCATGCTTACACATTTGTAAACGTGTGTCTTGTACAAGATTTGTGTAAGGAAGAGGTTGTCATCCTGATCAAATGCTCTTGGTTGCATGACAAATAGTCAGTGTGCCTGATGGATGTATGTCAAACTAGATTTAGTTTATTAGTATGCTTAAGAATCCTCAAGGATGTATTTTTAGTACGTTCAGCTTGATTGCTGGCTTCTGTCTAATAACATCTTGAAAGATTAATATGATATTAATATGGAGATCTGTACAGCCATTTGTTCTCCTTTGACTGCTATAGATCCTTGTGCCACTTCCAGAACCTGAAGCAAGAAGAGCCATGTTTGAGGAGTTACTACCCCAAGTACCTGGTGAGGAGGCACTTCCATATGATTTATTGGTCGAAAGAACTGAAGGATATTCCGGTTCAGACATTAGGTTAGTATCCAAGGAGGCTGCTATGCAACCACTAAGAAGGTTAATGGCACTTCTTGAGGACCGACAGGAAGTGGTGCCAGAGGAAGGTACACACATTTTATTGACTATAGATAGATAATTTCTTTGAGTTAATATTTTACTACATATTATTGTGTGACATCATAATAGTTTTAGACATGCATATCCATCGAGGTGGGTAGGTGCCTTTGCAAGATATTGATACTTGTCTTGAGGGGAGCATTGTTCTCTTTATGTTGTTCAACTTCAAAGTTCAGGTGTTGAAAGCTGTATGCATCTTTAGTTCCTCATGTTTTGCAATTTAAATGCATAATTAGTTAATTACTTGTAAATACTCATCTTGCATTTATGCCTGCTCAAATAGGACACGCAGAAGTTTCTCTTTATATATCTTTTAAAGTGTTTGTATTCTTTTTGAAGGAGGAAAATTGAGAATTTGATTATGTTAATCTGATCAATGAATGTCTTTACATTATAGAGCTACCGAATATGGGACCAATTAGACCTCAAGATATGGAGGTGGCTTTGAAGAACACGAGGCCATCAGCTCATCTCCATGCCCATCTCTACGATAAGTTCAATGATGATTATGGTAGTCAAATACTCCAATGAAGGCACCAAGCATCTTCCTGATTTCAACATTCATGTGTTCTAAATCCAGCAGATTTGCAACATCAGTTGATTTGATTCTTCTTCTTTCCAGCTGAAAATTTATGATTTCCTTGGCTGCGATAGACTTGTGTACTATGGCTTTCTAATTTCTGTTGTTATTTCTAGGAATAGTAGCTTTATTGAACTCGTAATTATAGATGGTCGTGAAACTCTTTGTATAACGTTTCTAAATTCGTGCGACAATTGTGTAGGTGATAAATCATTGACATTGACAACATTGTGAATGTCATTAGCCCAATTTCATAGGAGGGACAAACTTTCTGATTCCTAAGTCTTGTCCTTGGGATCTTTCATGACCTTGATCTCTATTCTACTTAACCCACCTGTATTCCTAAGTCTTGTTTTTTTTCCCCTGGAATACAAGAGCTTGTTGATCACATGCAATTAGTACATTCTTTTCTTACAGCTTCTAGAATACAGGTGGGTTATTCATTGAAGCAAGATTATCCCCTAGAAAAATTTGAAATGCACCAAAGTGCTATACTGTGAGATGCTGAATTGCAAATTCATCTCTATTTATTGGGGGTGTAGGCAGCAATGTTGGATGCATTGCGTACTTCTAACTTTAGTCTCCCATGGAACCAGATCACTTTGAGCTTTCAAAACATTATCGACTGTTTGCTCTCAAAATTGATAGTCCTTCTAGGAATTTGCCTTTGCAATACCTTAGAATGGCTTCAATGGAGATTTCAGTTTACGAGATTGGTGGTGCCGCTTAAATAAAGTTGGTGGAGCTATCCAAGTATAGTGAGATCTGGCTTTTTGATGAGAATTAAGAGGATGCTCACTTGTACTACACAGGCAATGTGGGTGCAACGAGTTTACCGGGCGGCTTTGGCTAAGGAGCTACGGCTTAACCATGTGCTGTACTTTTGGTCGATCTGCTTAACTAGCGTCCATTTTGAATTTACTGTAAGCGCATATATGGCTCTAGGATCTCTCACCAATTTGAATGTTGTCTATGCATATGGCTCCCTGGCATCTCTTACCAATGCTCAATCATCCCATGTATTGCCCCTGTGCTCCCAGCAGAAATTATTGTAGTGTCCTCGTATGCACCTTGATTTGATGTTTGGGTGGTATAGACAATGCATTTGTTGGGTCCACCACCTCTAGAATCCTAAATTGCCTAAGGTTGGAGATGTAAAATGCTGGCTAGCACGTTGGGATTCGATGATGAAGACACATCTCTATACTAATGAGTTTTCGATCGAGAAGACCAGAGCTAGAATCAATCCGAGTCGAGCCTATACGGTACCGAGCTCAAGTTAGACTTGTTTTGAAGCTCCAGTTAATCTCAACAGAGCATGGCATTCCCTGCTCAAGCTCGACTCAAATGGAAAATCCAACATACCTGGCTCGGCTCAATAACAGAAAAATTTCAAATGAGCTCAAGCTCATAAGGGTAATAAACTCGAATATTCTCTCTCTTGAAAAGAAGTGAAATGTAAGTCTTCAATCATCACATCCATATATTCAGGTATGTATTCTTAAGAGTCTTTTGTATTAAAGACAAAAGATCATTTCCTAATAGATTGTAGTATTTCAAATTCTAGGGAGAAAGTGAAAAGTGAAAAGTTCTTTTTCGCTGAAGCATAAACAAACAAGCCCTCAACATTTTAAGACAAGATGTAGAAGCTCGATCAGAGGCTTGCGATGAGTATTTGCGAAAACTCAAACTCGACTGGACAAGATACTGACGGAGCTTTAAAATGTTAGCATTCGAACTCGAGTATCATCAAGTCGAGTAAAAACTACTAATGAGTTAGCTTTTCTGAGGTTCACTCTTGGTGAAAAGTTTGGCAGGGTGATTATATAATTGGGGAGCTTGATGATTATGTAATGTAAACCTGAGAAAGTAAAATCCCTGATCTAGCAATTGGTGCCCGAGCTGACTTCATGGTAGTTACTGTTAATCGGTAAGGAAAGATATACATGACGATTGCAAAAGATGCACGATAACATAAAAGACCAAAAGTTCATAAGGACTCATGCAAAAGTGCTCCAAGGCCTCAGCAAAATGTCACGAAAAACAGCAAAATTTGACAGAAACCTGATCGCAGCCCAACAGCATTGTGTTTAACTTCCACAATATCCCATCAAGGGATCGGCTGTTTTGCCAGTTCGGGCGTCTGTCCATGCTTTTGCAATTGTCTTCTTCATTTCGTCATCACCTTCCTCGTACATATTCTGCAGTCACCAGTATTGGATAACCATGAGTGTTCATCAGCAAATATAAACATGAACGTAAAATAATATATTGCCGACAGTGCTTTTGAAAGGATAATTCATATTTCATTTCGCGGAAGAAGGCAGAGACATGCCCTATGATGCCTTTCTTTTTTCTGGCCAAGATAGAAAAAGCGTTCCAGTATCAAACACTACAAGTAACAGAAATCTGTGACTTATCAAATTCATGAACATCCCTTTAATGTAGCTCAGGTAACTTGCTTTCAGTACTTACGATCCTCAGTGCATGATGACAAGTTGACCCAAACAAGGACATCCCACAAGAGAAACAATGCATTTGCCCTTCTATTAGAGACTAGTTACTAGTCAATCATATCCCTTACTCTTCTGACGAGGGTAAGAACCAGGCCTGACCACTACTTTATCTGTCCATCAAGGAGACCACCATTGGAGCTAACGCAAGACGTTTAAGAGAGACAGATTCCACGTTTGAGATTGAAGTACAGACCTAACTCCTATCTCAATCAAGATCTTGGATATCAAGATTCTTCAGAAATCAGATAACTTCCAGAAATCAAAGATGAAGTAGTTGCTCATGGTTTTCTATATTTAAGGCTAACTCACTCTAGCAGCGTCCTGCTGATACCAGGATTAGTGGCCCCGTTTGGTTCAGTATTTGGAAGGGGCTTTTGGCCTCGAAAGTCCCTTGGGGAAATGCTGAACCGTTAGAAGTCCATTGGCCAAATGCTAGCATTTGGAATGCTGAATGCCCAAAGCTGATCCTGCCAAATGCTAGCATTTGGAATGCTACACCCAAATTTTGTCCCCAAACTACCCTCACTTATTTTGGTTTATTCCGGTTTTGCCCCTCTTGTTACTATTCATCTTCTTCGTGAGGCGGCCGGCAAGGGAGGTCGGCGAGGGTGGCCGACACCAGATCGGGCCAGTGAGAGGCCGGCGAGGTCGGACGAACCAGGCGATGGCTGCTTGAGGTTGCGCGACCGCCCAGGCGCTGCCGACCTGGGTTGCGCGAGGCCATCTGCCGCCTGGGTCGCTCGACCTGTCGACCCAGGCGCCGGCCGCCTGAGGTCGAGTGACCCAGGCGCCGGCCACCTGGGTCGAGCGACCCACGCTGAGGGTCACCCAGCCTCGAGCGACGGCCGCTGGGGGCAGATTTGGCTCACCGGGGGTCGCCCGACCTCGGGCAACGGCCGCCGGCGCCAGATCTAGCTCGCCGGCGGTCGTAGGCCTTCGCCGGCTCCGGCGAAGGGTATGGTAATTTTTTTTTTTAATAAAAAAGATAATTCCCAAAGCCCTTTTGCAAAAAAAAATTTACCAAACACTACTTGGGCTAAAGTAGTTTTACAAAGGATTTTTTACTAAACACCATTTGCATTTCCCTAAGGGGCTTTAACCTAAAGATATTTGCATTCCCCCAAGAAGTAGCATTTGAAAAGTTGAACCAAACGGGCCCAAAGAGAACAACTATGCAAAAGGAAAGAAACATAATATACCTTCATCAAATCCATAATTCCAGCCATGGGATCTTTTTCTTTGTCCATACTAGGCTTTAGCTACAAAAAATGGGAGGATAAAAAGCAACATGAGGAGTTGTATTATACAAGGAGAACTACGCCACTGACCTTAACAACAGATCACTTACCTTGTCCTCCTTGAATTGCAAATCTAACCAGTTCCCCTTTGAGGCCTTAAACAATGTTACAATCATTCTTGTCGGTTTGACTACAACCTTAGATTTCTCTGGCAAAATCTCCTTGTTCAGTTTGGGTATGGTAAAGCGATAGTTTTTCCCTTGTACATCATGGATCTTCAAGTCAAACGACATTGCCTTAAACTCACTTTCAATCTTTTCCTGATCAACTCCCTCCAGAGAAAGATAAATCTGCATCAAAAGGGGAAAAAAAAATCACAGCAACATCAAATAACCAAAAGATCAGTCCAAGCACATTGGATTCAGCAACCTAACATTTTTTATTCTTCACTATCTCAGCTTTCTGAATGCCAAATTGGAAAAGATAGTCTCTACTAGACAATGTTACAGTAGATGAACTTGACAGTGAGACTGATTATATTATTACCTTGACTTTGTCACTATCCTGATCCCAGCTGAAAGATGCAAGTGTGACGTAATTCAAAGCTGGGGTAGTAGGAACCCTTGCTTGAGTTGATATTGGCTCAGGGGTCTGTGAGGATTGTGCAGTAACAGCATCTTTTGACAACTGTAGAGGAAAAGGACCATGAGATAAAAATCCTCTTACCTAAAGGCAAACATTTGAAAAGAGCTCAAATGGGCTCAAGTTTTTCACATGCTCGAAATTGTCTACCAATGCAAATACACCAACAAAATTTGAATAGTATCATTTGGCACATAAAGAACTCCTCTAAGACATTAAAATTCCTTTGACCTAAAGGTTGTGGTCCTGTGAGCCAGAGACAGAAACTTGGAAAAAATTATCAGAATGCACGACTGCATTTTAGTCCATCCACCAATACTAATAAGCGCCGTTGAATTTCAAGTATATACCACTGAAATATGGGTTTCATCTCACTTGTGCTTGCTTTTCATATTTATCCAGCCATTCAAAGATCTATAAAACCATCTAAAGTGTCACAAGTATCTCAACATAAGCCAAATAGTCAGCATGAGCGGCAAATTCATAGCAAAAGTGTCAAATTTGACAACTCAATTGACACGAATAGGTGATGCTGAGCTGCCTATTTCGACAATATGCTCAAGAACAAATGTACGTCATAAACTGCTAAGATATCTGAAAGGACATTACAACATCATTTGTAGACTAACTGAAATTATAGGTAGCAATAGGTGGTTCACATAAGGTAGATTCTACTCATTGTGCTATTCTTAATGACATTTGTGTAAAATTATGATGGCCACAGAAAATAAACTAAGAGGGACCCCAGTGAAAACACACTCTCGAAAAATAAAAATAAAAAACAGCAATTACCCTCGCTTTTTGATTATTGATGATAATTTAGCACCTGGGTCACCTAACAAATTTTAAAGTCTCAAAGCCTTTCAGAGAGACTCTACAATTTCCATCAGACCTTAGCTCTACTAAAAATGTTTCTCAATCTTACAATCTGCTCTAACTTTCGAGAGAATGCAGCGCAGACGCTCCCAATATCAACAGCTTAGTCGGAGGATGAACCACAACATCCCGCAAGCTCACATCAATTCACAGTACTGATGAAGCCCAGCGACATCGAAACAACCACTAAAAAGCACCACAATCGCCGCGCGAAACATTACGATTACTGGCAACGATCTTCAAATCCACACTGCGAACAACCGAACATGGTGGGAAAAAACGGGTGGCCACGAAAACGCTGGCAAAACATACGAATCATCGACCCCAAAATCCCATTTTTCTTTCCCCACTACTTCCATTCCACAAAAGGGGGAGAGACCCACGAAGGAAATCGCCGGGAAAAGACGCGCGGACCAAACGAGACGGCGACGAGAGCGAAATGGAAGAGCAAAGGGAGGACCTTTTCCAAGTTGCGTATCTCCGAGGAGATGAGAGAGACGACGCGGGGACGCTTCGCGATGCTCTGAAGCTGCCGAAGCTCCTCCAAGTCGAGGGCACACTCATCCGCCATTTTCGATCTTCTTCTTCGCAGAGAGAGGCAGAGACAGAGACAGAGGCAGAGAAGGTGGGCAGGTGATGTTCTCTCCTCTGAGGAAGATGCTAGAATCGACTCAGAACTTCTTGTGTAGGGCTTTCTTTTTTCTTTTTTCTTTTTTGTGTCTATTTTATTACATTTACTAGGGTTTTTTTAGAAGCTTCCGGATATTCTTGACAATTCATTATAAGTTTAGAACACCACTTTGGGAGTAAAAATACAAAATTGAGGTGGAGAAATTAATTGTCCTCCTCATGGTTTGGAAGGGTGGAAAATATAGGTGAAGAAGAAAAGAAGGATGATTTCCCTCGTTTTCAATAAAAATAGTTAATTTTCAACTATTTAGTAGCACGTTGAAAGATACGATGAAATCCGTTTTTGGTGTTTGAATCGCATTTATGAAATTAAATCTTCTCAATGTAATGAAAATAAATTCCTCATATAACGAATCGGTAACGCATAAAAGTACGTAACTTTTTTTCTTAGGCAATTACAAAATATAAAAATAAAATTAGAAGAGAAAAATAAAATAAAAATTGCATGTAATATAAAGAGCGGAAATGTCATGCCTCGTACCCTATCTCCCTGAGGCTCGGGCGTGCGACTTCCCTTCATCGGTCATGAATTGCGACGTCCCAGGAGGTATCGCCGACCCATTCTTTTTATGTTTTTATTAACACATGCGAAATCGAATTCTATATCTCCCAACCAATAATACAAATGGGATAGCATGGAAAAAACATGCACAAAAGCGCGCGCGCGCGCGCGCGCGCGCACACACACACACACATATATATATATATATATATATGCATCAACGACCCACATCAGAAATTAGAATAATTACATATCTGTTACTCGGGCCCTTTTTGATTACATCCAACAAAAAAGAGAGAGGGTCGGGGTTAACTTAGCTCTTCTGCCTACTAAGACTACGAACTTTACGACCCCCATGTCTTAGTCCACGGGGTCACCAAAATGCATGATCCGAGTATCCATTCTGAAAAGGTTTAAACAACAATATATAAGCAAATTCAATAAGTAAGACTTCTAAGCCTTGTATAGGAGGATACATCGCCTCGAAAACACGCAAAACATAGGACTTAACGAGTCGATAGCAAAGTTTTTGCTTTGCCTTATCTATATACACGAAAGGTAACCTCATCCTCTCGGCATGCCAAAAACACAATCAAATAATCACGCGTGAATTCTTACCTCCTGTTAGTACGTAAAATTCACACGAATAATCACACGTGAAGCCTCGCTTCTAATTGGCATGCATCAATTATACATAGTAATCTAGAACACTTTTTGTCACATATTCATACACAATGCATCCACACGTGTTCCGATTATTATGACCACTCATAGTCACGACCGACACTCGCATCGATGATCTTCCAACGTAACCGGGCATCGTCCCGCCCCATCAGGCATGGCAACATCTTGACCTCACTCGAAGACGGCATTCATTTAAGAGCATCGTTCCGAAATCTATCCGCGAACGGCATCCGAAATCCATCGAGCACCGTCCCCTGCAATCATACGGGTACGGAACTATTTATGTGATCACGCAAGCATATCAAGCACTCAAGTCAATTATTGTTTTTCATTTAAGTCAATGCAAGAGCGTTTAGTGCTCACACGAATTTCTTTTTTTTGTTCTGAAGTGCTCACACGGTTAGAATATCTAAAATTCGTACACATAAAAATTTACGAAAATAATCACACGTGAACAATTGCAATCCTTCGACATGCGAAATATCCTTGGAAAGATGGACACGCGCAAGATGACTTAAAACATCGGTTTATCATAAATCCATAATTATGTGACAACATGAGACTTTTATTGTACTAAACAATCCTTCGACATGCGAAATTACACATACTTTACTTACAAACCTTCCTTGTAAAGATGGACATACGCAAGATGACTTAAAACGTCAATTTCTCATAAATCCATAATTATGTGACAACATGAGACTTCTATTGCACTAAACAATCACATGAGCACATACACTTCACCTTGATTCCTATAACATATATGTGCATCAAAGAAACATATAAATTCACACGGCAATTAATAACGAGAATAAGAATAGCGGAAACATTTCATGAGCAAACCATACAAAATTACTATACGTGCTTCCTCTTCCTAGAACAAGCAATAATTAACCCTAATAATCACAGAACCTAAACTCGAAACTTAATCAAACTACGAAGAATCAAGTCCTCTCTAAGGTATAGATAATCTACTTACGACACAAGAAATATCATGGTAGAACAAGCTTAAATAAGACTCAACTTAGGTCCAAAACGCGTAGCATCACACTCTATCCAAGGATTAGAAGAACTACTTACTAAACCGGTCGAACTAAGGATAATGACGAACAAACGGCAACGGCAAAGAGTTGTGGTCGGCGGTGAGGCGACGGTGAGGCAACGTGGTGGTGGCAACGAGGACGGTGCGGTGGCGAGCGGACGGCGGCACGGCGGTGGACGGCGAGAAAAGGAGGGCGTGAGAAAGAGAGGGTGAGGGAGAGAAAGAGAGAAATGAGAGAGAATGAGGAGAGTTCCCTTCCTAAGTGTTTTTGTAAGAAGGCCAATAATGCAATTGCATTAAGGAACTCTACTACCTACCCTAGCCTAGGTTTCATTTAATTTGCTCCCATCCAAGCAAATTCATGGCCAAGAGGCTAACTTGAAATCTTCTTCAACAAGTCTGACACTAGGCTTGCATAGCTATTAAAATAGGCACATGCATATAGTTGGGGACTAACCAAGGAAACCAAACAAGAAGCTAACTAAGTTGATCTCCTCCCCTTCCTCTCTTTAGGTGGCGCCCAACCTCCTCAAGCAAGACCAAATTTTGGTATCTTCCTAATCAAAGCTTCTAGAAGGTGCATTAAATGCTAGACTATAGGTTACTATTCATAGAACACTATTCATGCACATGGCACATTAATGTGCAATCTTCTAAAAATCACCAAAGGGTCAAATGTGGACAAGATGGGCTTTACCCTCTTGATTGGTGCCTAATAAGGCCGAACAAGTCCATTGGGCTTGTCTTGGGCACGGACCTTCATTGGGCTTCCAATGCTTGGCTCGTGTTCACTTGTCCGAAGATTAACGGTCCAATGATGCTTAATTAAGCGTCATCCTAAAAGATTGTCTCTTAATCATTCATAAATCGATACTCGTAACTGGATTGAGTTCTGTAGTCAAATTCACTTGGAAGAGCCTTTGACGTTGCTTGTACAAATAGGAGACTTTTAGGATTAAGGGAGACTCGTGTTTGATCCGAAATCGATCCATGTTTAAGCTTGCTTGACTCATGGTCTATTCCTGCTATCAGTGCTTCGATACTTAATACCATTCCCAACGTCTTAGACAGGGGTCAGATTGAGGATGTCACGGGAAAAAGACATTAGAAGTGTCATAATTTTCGTACACACTCACTTAAGTGCTGAAACTTTTCGAGTGATCACTTGCGTGTCACATCGATGGAAAAACGATCACTTAAATGTGTTGATACCTAATATTTTGCTAGTTATTTAATAATTTATTGTATAGAAAATTAGGAATTGACCCTGGCTCCTAACAAAAATAATTTTCATTAAATTACATATGATTTTGAGGAGCATTTCATGGCATATATATAAATTCATAAAAAAGGGCATTTAATTGGACCGGCAGCGAATTAAGGTTCTGAACTTAATTAAATTATATATTTTCAGTCCGTGAGGAAGGGAAAAATTCGGCCAAGTCATGAAGAGTGTTGGCAGCCAAAAATTCCAAGGTAAAATACAAGGTTCCAAGCTATAATTAAGATGGGTTTAGCCCATATGATTAGAGCTGGAATTTTATAAGAGTTTTGAGCTTAATTGTGCCCGTAAACGAAATTGAACTTGGCCAAGCTCATGCACCTTGTCTTGGCTGAAACCCACTAGAGAGGGGAGGCATTATTGGGTTTAATTAAGCGAAAGTTAGCCCATTAAAGTTTAATTAACGAAAGGCCTTAGGTTATTAGAGCCTATTGTTTTAATAAGGTATAAATCAAGCCTGTATAATCAAGTTTAGACATAGGTTTTCACTATATAAAGACATTAGGTCTCACAAACCAATGGGTCAGCAATCTTAGGTTAGAGTACATGTTTGAGGAATAGACAAGTAGAGAAAAAAAGGGAGACAACATGTAAGTCGCGGCCAAGCCTTCTCATGGCCGCGACCATGCCAAAGCTGTTGTTCCCCTCTGAGTTTCAGCCGGTGATGACGAAGTAGCCTTGCTGAGCACCAACAATGAGCCATCTTCAAGCTGCAAGTCACCATGAGCAGTTGAGCTCCTTCCCTGACATCGATGTTGCTTCCTTGCCTACAGCGGCTACTGCTGCTCCGTCACCGGTCGAGATGACTCTCCTCCTGCTAGCCATCGCAACTCTAACCTACCGAGCTGCTCACCGTCGTGAGACCAACTTGACGAGCTGCTCATTGCTACGCCTGATCCTCTGCTGACCCTCGACGATGCCGCTGCTCTCTAACCTCATGACTTTACCTGCTGCTCTACTGAACCGACATCGTCACTGCGGCTTCTTTTGACTGATCCCCACTATGACCGGTCAAGCTGTAGCCCTCATCCACCAAGCGGCATATCGGCTTTCTCCCTACACCGGGACCAACAATGACCAGCCGACAATCCTACTTGACGCCATGAATGACGCTGCTCTTTGGCCTTAGTGAAGCTCCTTCTGTTGCCGTTCCTTAAACCAAGAAGGCCTTGCATTGAGCGGCGACGGGAACCTGCTCTCCCGAGCCTGCACTGAGTCCTCGCTGTGCCGACCATGAGCGAGTTTACTGCACCACTGTTGACACCTATTTTAATTGGCCCAAAAATTAATTACACAAAATTTAGGAGTTAATTTTCTTTAATTCCTAAAACAAAAAATATTTCTATTTCAATGCATTGCATGTAGACATAGGTACATTTTGCAATATTAGAATATAAAATTAAAATTTCAAAAAAAAAAATCGGAATGGGCCGGGTGGGTAGTCGGCCGACCCTCCCTTTTTTTTTCCTCCCC